ATGATTAAGGCAATTTGGCCTTTGTGTTCCTCATATTTATAATCCTGTGGAACAGGCAGTCATGGCTGAACAATATCATGCTCCTAGTCACCTTGGTGTGCAAAAAAAATTGAAATATGAATGGGTTATATACTTCTAGTGGTGTCAATAATTGAGGCCAACATGCATTGGAGAAAAACATTTATTTCATAATGTGAGTTCCCCCCACTATCAATTGTTTTACTTCTATGATAGGTTAGAATTGTATGATTTTTTTTTTTTGAATGAAAGATTTGCAGATTTATTTTCACAGATGCCTTTGCTCATATTTAACAAGGGTGCCAATATTAGTGGAGGGCACTGTATATAATAATTTTGTGAGCTTGATACACATACATTTTATTCAAAAAGTATGCGTTACATTGATCTAAAGTGGCAGTAAAGACTTATTTTACAAAACAAAATGTCTATTTGTACAAATAAATGCTGAACTTTTTATTCATTACAGAATCCTGAAAAACATTGTTTCAGGGTTTCTAGAAAAACCATTAAGCAGCACAACTGTTTTCAACATTGATAATAATTAAAAATATTTTTCAGGCACCAAATCGGCCGTCACAGGAAAAAAATTTTTTTTTTAGAATACATTAAAACAGAAAACAATTATTTTAAATGGTTATAATATGTCACAATATTTCTGTTTTTACAGTATTTTTGATCAAATAAATGCAACCTTAATGAACAAATGAGACTTTTTAAAAACTTAATTTGAAAGACTTCTCATTTTTTCTTAAGCCATTTAGAAATACTTTGTTGATATTATTATAGTAACGTTCTCTTTTAGAAACTTGAGACTAAACTCAACAACAGAGAAAGAGCGGCCAATCAGATGGCTGAGAATTTTGAAAATGAAAAGGTAATAATTATATCTCACTAATTCTCGTATTTTTCTATTAATTTGTGTAACATTCCTCTATGACATGTTTTAATACTCTTCTGCATTTCTAAATACTTGCATATAGTGAATTTGCATCAGATTTGCTCCTGTGTTGCAGGTGATTTTTATAGAAGGTGTTTTGTTATTGTCATCACAGGAGCACCTGAGGACTGCAGGAGAGCTTTCAAAGGTTCTTGAATCCACCCGCAGTCGCTTGCAGAATCAGCTGCACAAGAAAGAAGCTGAAAATAATCGGCTGGAGGCTCAGATTCAAGTAACCCTACTTGGATTTTTACCTTAGTCGTGGTTTTCATTATGTGGAACATCATGTAAGTATGTACTGTACTGTGGCACAGAGGCTGGAAGGGACACTGCAGCATCAACAGGAGGAGGTGCAAGGCCTGCTGGAGCAGATGAGAGAGTTGAAGCAGCACTGTGAAGGAGACAAAGACGTCCACAAACAGACCTTGGAGGACCAGAGGAAACAGACTGAACAAAGTGTGAATACAGCTGCACAGCTCTCTGCACAACTCCTGGACAAGGTACTGTACAGAAGAACAATAAATGAACTGTGCTACAGGGTTTCATAAAATTCATAGAAAGATTCTGTAGACCTTCGTGGTTTACAAAGTGCTAATTGCTTAAATAATTCTCCAAAAGTCCTTTATTTTAATATGGCACTGCTGGCTCATGTATTCACTTGACTGGACATTGTCTCACAAATTTAATAGTTTGTTTGAAAGATTGATTTTTATGCAGTTGGCCAGTATGAACCAAGCGGTTTCTGTCATCTCTTCAGGAAGCTCAGTTAGCAGAGGCTCTCTCCACTGCTGAGGAGCTTCGGCAGCGTTACTCCAAACAGAACAGAGAGAAAAACCAGCTGGAGTTGGAGATCACCACCTTAAATAAGTCAGAGACTCTTTCTTCATTTGCTTTAAGTGTTCACTGAAGCTCAGCCAAACATGTTTTTGAGCATTTTACTCAATTTACTTTATCCATATTATCTTTATCTTTACTTCATCCATTCATTCATTCTTTTTAGCATAATATATTACATTTTATCATATTACATTAAAATACATTTAAACAATGATCTTTAAGATTATAATTTTTATTACAGTTTAAAATAACTTTCAAATGTAATTTATTCTTGTGACGGCAATGCTGAGTTTTCAGCAGCCATTACTCCAGTCTTCAGTGCCTCATGATCCTTCAGAAATCATTCTAATATGTTGATTTTGTGTTCAAGAAACATTTCAGATTCAATGTTAAACAGTGCTGCTTAAAGGGTTAGTTCACCCAAAATGAAAATTCGGTCATTAATTACTCACCCTCATGTCATTTCAAACCCGCAAAGCCCCGTTCACACCAAGAACGATAACTATAAAGATAACGATATTAGCGTCCACACCAGCAAACAATATCGTCTGTTTATTCTAAGCGCACGCGCGTCTGCCGCTTAAAACTTTTGAGCTTGTTACAGCAGGATGGATTCTGATTGGCTCTCAATTTTTTATCGTTCATCAGCTGGAGAAAAATCGTTTTGAAAGTGATTCCAACGATATCGTTTCTCTTTGTCTTTATCGTTATAGTTGTAGTGTGGACTCTGCTATTCTTTAATATTGAGAACGATTTTTAGAACTATATCTTTATCGTTATCTTTATAGTTATCTTTATAGTTATCGTCCTTGGTGTGAACGGGCTTACTTTATTCAACAATTCGTCTCCTCCGCATCACCCTGGTGCCATTTTGGAGAATATTCGCTGAACGTAAACAGCGTATGCTGTTCTGTGTCAGCTGCGTCACACTGATACGCTTTTTCCGTTCAGATCAAATCACAACAACGTAGGAAATCCGGCATGACGCAGCTGACACAGAACAGCATATGCTGTTTACGTCCAGCG